GTCCACTTCTTCCTGGATATGTTCTATCGTACATCCAACTGCGATAATACCGATAATATTCCATACTGCACATTTATACAATCATTGTCTTTTTCATTAGAAATATTCTTAAACTATTTAATACTATTCTTAGAAATATAAATTTTGCTTTTTTATATATATACTAACATATAAATAAATATTCAAATGTAAAATATATAATTTTTTATTACATAACAATAATATCAAAAAACAATAATATAACATATTTACTTTTTATTATATATACAACAATAATATTAGAAAACAAATAATGTAAGATACATACTATTTATTATTATATATATAACAATAATATTAAAATAATAATATAATATATATATTCTTTTTTTAAATATGTTTTTTATAAATTGTTATTCTAATATATAATTTTTTTTCCATATCTTTAACATATAAATAAAAAAATAAAACTATTATAATAAATACAATTTACATCTATAAAAAACATGTTATTAAATATGTTATTAAATTTATGTTTTCTAAAATTTTTTAAAAAATATATTAAATATGTTATTAAAAAATATGCAAATTACATATACACATATACTACTAAAAAATATATAAATCACATATATTCATATATTCCACAATTTATACTACTATAAAATTACATATATTATAAATCACTATTCAAATATTCCTAATTACATATATTCCTAATTAAAATTACATATACACATATGTTATTAAATATGTTTTTAAAATTTTTTTTATTATCAGTAATTTTATACTACTAACAGTATATACATATATTCCTAATTACCACAAAATACATATACAAATCTAATCTATATAATACATATAAAATCTAAAAAAAAATGCATAAATACCTCTATATAATTTCTTCAATAAATTTGCGTCTTCTAGTTCTTGGTGTTCTTCAAATTTCTCTACAAATAATAACGAACAATCGAACAAATACCATGTTAATTAAATAGTTCATTCCAGTATAAAAACTAAAGATAAAACGAAATAAACATTTAACATCACATGCATACCTTAGATTTCTTCAACAAATTGGAATGGAAGAAAATTAATTCGCAAAATTGGGTTTGAGTTTGTGAGAGTTGCTGTAAATCAAAATTGAAATGGAAGCAAGCAAAGGGGAAGAAGAAGAAGCACGCTACTGTAAATCAAAACGTTAACATTTGTAACTTCTAGTAGCGACGTGACTGTCACGTCGCAACGTTGCCACGTGATAATCACGTCGCTACAATGCAATCATAAATACTTTTCTCTGTCCAACACTGCGCAGCGAAATTATTTTTCCCCCCAAAAATTTAGCGACGTGGCTATCACGTCGCTACAAAATTTCAAACTTCCCTCCCAACAACGTTCACCAGTTTCCATTAAATGTCATTAAAATATATTAGCGACGTGGTTATCACGTCGCTACTACCCACGTGATAAGCACGTCGCTAATATATGTCGCTGGGGACATATTTTTTTGTAGTGAAAGTTCTTGAGGTAGGGTATCAGGAATAAAAGCTGCTATGAAAATTCCAACTGAAACTTTCTCTGGGAATTCTTCCATTGCAAGAGCTATACTCATTCCACCAAAGCTATGTCCTACAAGAATCACTTTTTCATTTGATTCAAGTGATGCTAAAAACTCTAACAAAGGCTTAGAATAGTCAGCAAAAGTATCAACATCTTCTATTTTTTGTGTGTTGATGCCACAAGCTGCAAGATCAAGTGCTGTGACTTTGTGACCAATAGATTCTAATTGTGGTTTTAGTTTGTACCAACACCAAGCTCCAACGCAAACACCATGAACCAGAACAAAATGCTTCTGTTTGTTTTGGTTCATATTGAATTCAGACATTATGTTTTCTCTACCCGCCGACATGTCTTTGCTTATTATAGTAGGGTGCTAAACTGAGTTTCGTAGCCAGCGCTCTTTTCAGCCACTTATCGTAGCCACTAGTGAAATCATTTATAGTTGGCATTCTACCCAATTGTACAATTTGATTTTATTAAATTAAATGAATAAATAAGTTGTTCAGAACATATTATTTGAAGCTAACTCAACACAATTGTGTTTTAGTGAGATGTTTCGAGTCTATTGAAATGAGCTTGTTTAATTTTTCATGTAAAATTAATTCTATTTAAGAGTAAGATTAGGGGTAGCAATTAAATTCATTAAGACAAACTTCATTTAATTCATCTACTAAAAAACTCATCTAATCTATTCACTAAATAAAAAGTAAGTTAATAGATTGGATTAATATATATGGATGAATCCAATCCATCCACCACATTTATATATATGGATGAATCCAATCCATCCACCACATTTTGATGATCTAATATATTATTTTTATATTATTATTTAAATTCAATAAATCAATTTTTTAAATTAATAAAAACTTTTTTTTTTAAAATAAAAAAAACTATGTTATTCAGAATTTTAAAAAATCGAGTTTTTTTTAGAAAATAAAAAAATTGAGTTTTTTTTTGGAAGATTGAGTTTTTTCAGATATATTGAAAAATTGAATTTTTTTTTAAAAGTTGAGTTTTTTCGGAAAACCAGAAAAATCGTGTTTTTCAGAAAATCGAGTTTTTTTTCCGAAAAATCGAGTTTTTCTGGAAAATAAAAAAATTGAGTTTGTTCGAAAAAACAAGTTTTTTCAGAAAATCGAAAAACCGAGTTTTTATGGAAAATCGAGTTTTTTTGGAAAATCGAGTTTTTCGTAAAATCGAAAAAATCAAGTTTTAAAAAAAAAAAACAAAAAAACGAGTTTTTTTGGAAAATCGAAAAATCAACTTTTTGGGAAAATTGAAAAAACGACTTTTTTGGGAAAATCAAATAATCGAGCTTTTTCGGAAAATCGAGTTATTTAGAAAAATTGACTTTTTTTTCTTCGGAAAAATCGATGAATTGAGGTTTATTTGGAAATTCGAAAAATCGAGTTTTTTTCTTCAGAAAATCGAAAAAATTGAGTTTTATCGAAAAATTGAAAACCGGGTTTTTTTTTCTAAAAAACTAGTTTCTCGAAAAAATCAAAAAATTGAGTTTTTCCTAAAAATCGAGTTTTTTTACGGAAAATCAAAATATCGAGTTTTTTCGGAAAATCAAAAAGTCGTGTTTTTTCGAAAAATCAAAAAGTCGAATTTTTTCGGAAAATTAAAAAATTGAGCATTTTTGAAAAATCGAAAAATCAAATTTTTTAGGAAAATCGAAAAAAATCGAAAATACGTAAAAAATCAAATTCTTTTTGAAAAATCGAAAAATTGAGTTTTTTTCCGAAATATCAAATATTGAGTTTTTTCGAAAATAAAAAAAAAAACGAATTTATTCGAAAATACAAAATATATTTTTAAAAAATTGATATATTTAAATTAATTTTTTTAGATGGATGGATATCCACCCATTAAAATGTTGTTAATGGATGAATTAGATGAATTTTATTTTTAATAGATGGATTTGATTGAATATTTTTAAGAAAGTTTTAGCGGATTGTTAATGAATTAATGGATTATTTTGATCCGTCTATTATTAATCTAATTCATATCCATTCAATCTATGTATTTTACCACTCCTAAGTAATTTATAAAATAATTTATCTTTTAATAAAGTAAATTAATTATGTGAAATTAATTTTAATTAAATATGAATTGAAGATAAAATAATTTATGTTTTGATCATTTAAAAGTGAATTCAACAGTATAACTCGTTTCTTTAAATATAAAATCAATTCTCAAGACATATTCAATAATCGTACTTTTGGAAGAATCAACTAAGGTCAACTAAACAAAAAAAATAATTAAAATTAACTAACATAAATTAAAATTATAGAGTTGTGAACTTAGCAAAAATTTAAATAAAGATTCATCATAATAAAACTCTCCAGAGCTCAATTTGGCAAGATATTTTTTTTAATTTATAACTGATAATTTATAAGTTTGTGTATGATAATAAAAAATTTGTTTGATAACAGATTTCTCATTATAAGTTTATAATTTATTTTATTAATTTATAATTTATTTTTCTAGATACTATTTTGAATAATATTTTATTTTATAATTTATACTTTATTATTTTTTACTTCCACTTTTATCCTTATTATTTTAACTAAAATCCACTACTAATTTTTATAATTTATTTTAATTTAACATAAAATAATTATATATTAAATATATTTTATATTATTTTAATTTATCAATTAAGTGATCAGTTAACTTTACCAAACACTTCAACTATTTTATTAGTTATAAGTCATCAATCATTAACTATAAACTATAAATTATTAGTTGTTAGTCATAAGCTATAAATTATGAGTAGTTTATCAGTCAATCGCTATTTTTATCAAACAAACTTAAATAATTGATTTTAAGATTGTTAAGTTTAATGTTAAAAAGAGTATCAACATTATTATATATTTCATAGTTTTAAATTGCAGTTGCGGGTGTTGTGATTACGATCATTACAATTGTTGCGATGTGCATTATAGTCATTGCGGCATAAATCTTTATAAGAAAGTGTTTGAAATACAAAGTTAAAAAACACTTAATATTAAAAAAAAATTATTAGATAAACAAATTGAGTTTTAAGATTCTAATATTTTAATTTTTGATAAAAATATTTAAAGAAATATGATTTAAATTATCTAATGTAGTTCTTAATACAATCGAAAATATGATTTTAAAACTATACCGTAATTACAATCCGATACCGTAATTACAATCCGATGTGGTTGATTTTACGGATGCAATTGCAGTTACATAGTGCAGTTTAAAACTATGGTATATTCTATTCTATCATTATATGCAACAAAAGGAAAGAAGATTATAGTATATTTCAATCTTTGATGTTACAAAAGTTTGATTGAGCTAATTATCAAACACTTACAAGAATAGTCGTGCATTTACGTACTACTATTTTTATCCAGAAAACTTATTCTCAATTTTACTTTGTCTCTTCGGACACCATTATTTAATTTATTACATCATAATACTACTTATATAGCACATTTATTAGCAATCTCAAGGAGAAACAAACAAAGTTCTTGAGTTTTAGAAAGCATAGGCATATGATCAGACCCATTAATCACTTTCACAACATCAATTCCAGCATTTTGGATCATCCATTCTTGAAACTCTACTGGAATTGTTAAGTCCTCATCGGCAACAATATAAGCACGTGGAACCGATTCATATCTCTCTTTAGAAAGATTATCTACCTGTGATAGATCCTCCATAAAAAGTGACCCTTTCCTTCTTAAAATCTTTCCTAATTCCAAATCCTGCAAAATACAAAACAACATATATTTACTCGCATTGCTTTGTAAACAACAAAGACGGATATTACAAGTAAGTACCTGAGTGGAGCATTGTGAAAAGAATTTAGTGGACAAGAGCTTTAAGCCAGGAAGCACTACCATTTTGCTTTCATAAAAAAAAAACTCAGTGTCTAACCATCCACTCATTGGATATCTCTCAATATTCTATCCATATTCACCAAATCAACATGTCATGTAAAAGTTAAACAAAAACATTAGTAATAATTTCATCGATAATAAATCTTTACCTGTTCAAGTACATATGATGGTTGATGTAGGGTATCAGGAATGAAAGCTGCTATGAAAATTCCAACAGCAATTTTTACTGGGAATTTTTCCATTGCAAGAGCTATACTCATTCCACCAAAGCTATGTCCTACAAGAATCACTTTTTCATTTGATTCAAGTGATGCTAAAAACTCTAACAAAGGCTTAGCATACTCAGCAAAAGTATGAACATCTTCTATTTTATGTGTGTTGATGCCACAAGCTGCAAGATCAAGTGCTGTGACTTTGTGACCGGTAGATTCTAATTGTGGTTTTAGTTTGTACCAAGTCCAAGCTCCAAGGCAAACACCATGAACAAGAACAAAATGCTTCTGTTGTTTTTGGTTCATATTGAATTCAGACACTATGGTTTATCTACCCACTGACTTGTCTTTGCTTAATATAGGAGGATGCTAAACTGAGTTTGGTAGCTAGCTCTTTTCAGCCACTTATTGTAGTCACTAGCCAGGATATTTATGTTTCGCATTCAATCCAATAATGCAGTTTGATTTTATTAATTTAAATGAATAAATATATTGTTTGAATGACATGGTTCAAATCTATTCAAATTAAGCGAGTTTTTAGTTTTAATATATATTTGACGAGAATCTACATAATTGAAATTTAGATTCAATCACATAATAGAAGTTTGTGTATGTATACGCGTGTGTTTGTGTGCGGGTGCATTTACTATGATTGGTTGGGTTGAAAGATTTTGAATTAGGATTCTAAATGAAGTCGATTTTAGTCTAATTCTCAACTCAAACCAAAATTTTAATCTTCGGTTGAACTTTAGTTCTGATTGGATAAAGCCTATGTTGGATATGGTATAAGTTACCCTTTTTTTTTTAAAACAAAACATCTTCTAATTATGGTAAAATATTTATTTTTCCATAAAATAATTCAAATACAAGATTATCAATAAACTTTTCTAATCTCTGTGATAATATATAAAATACATCAATGTGATATCATAACAAACTTCTAAAATTAATAAAATTCACTTTCAATTTGATATCTTTAAATTGTAAAAAAAAAAAGTAAAAATAATTCAAACTTCAGATCTTAAATACTATTAGGATTTTCTGTAAAAATAATTATAAAATTGTAAAAAAAAAAAAAAGTTAATTTTTATGTTAAGACGAGTTGGGCAAGTAGCTAGTATACTAACAAATGAGAACCTTAGATAAATTGTGTTGGACATAGTTTATTCATTAAAATTAAAATTAGAGAATTATTCTTTTCACAGTGTATATTACACCTTTAAAAAATTAAAATTATCTTTTATGTGTTTAGAGATGTATCTTCGAATGTATTAAAATTTTAATAAATTATATTATTATGAGGTCCACCCTTATTTTGAGTAAATATGGTTTAGAGATGCATCTCCGTATGTTATTTGGATATATTCGGAGGTGCATCTCTAAAATGTTCTCCGGTGTCCATTAAAAGGTGTTGGAAATGTAATTTATTTCAGAGATGTATTTCTGGAAATTCCTTTTAATCATTTCAGAGCAACACCATTTTCCTAACATCGTAATTTTTTGCGGCCAACTTATATTATAGTAAAATAAAAGTAAAATTCATGTAGAATGAAGTTTAATGAAAATAAAAAGGCATACATTAATCCAAAACACGCTCTAATACATAACATTTGTCCGAAAATACAAAAAAAGAAGAAGTAAAACATCCATACTTAAACTAACTACTGGGTATGTCTAACCTCTTGCCTTCTCTGCTGCATGTACTACACAATATTCTGTAACTCAACAATCAGATCTCCATGAGGGCCACCTAGGGAGTGTCATCCTCAAAGAGTCATGCCTCTATGACTCCTCTATCCATCTCTACAACACGCCAAAAAACTGTCGTCAAGCTTTCGACTTACTCATCTTGAACCTCAAGTACCTCCAAGTTAGCTAGCCTAGGTGGTCCTCCAAAAGCGCCTGGTGTCATGATAGGGTGTGACACCCTGTAAAACCATGTCATGTAGCCCTCAGCATAAGCCCGGTGTAAATGAGCGAGCTCCCGAAAATACTCCTCTAGTACCAGGTGACTCTCGAAATCATTCCAACATTACACCAAAACCTCGGTGGCGGATGCCGGGAGGAGCGCCCTCATTGGGAGGTCTCAGAATAATTTGCATGTAGTCAAACTGGTGTGTCACTCGCTCAGGAAGATAGGGATACATTAAAGATCATCCACTTGCCAGCCATCTAGAGTATAAGGAGATAACGTCAAACATATGTGTTTGGCGGTGAAACTCGTATGGGCAGAAGCAAGCATCATCTGTTACCATACAGTCTACAGAGACTCTGAATGGCACGACCACACCATTCTTGTTATACGGAAAAAATGCGGCTACACGTGGCCAGTCTACATCATAGTCAACCGCAACTTCCCAACCGGTGATGCGACAGAAGTAAGAAATGATTAATCCCTGAAAATAGTTCGGATAAAATATTAGTAACAAGTGTAACAAATGAATTATGAAAATAATAGTATTAAGAAATTACCGTAAAAGACGTGTAGCTTCCTCTCATCTGCTTTGTCTTTCAAAGATAACTCTCGTCAAACTTCGAGTATAGGTAGACCAAACAGGCGACCTCCAGTTGTACTCGTGAATCACAGTCAGGTCGATAAATTACTTAAGGTAAATCACATCGATATAGGTTGCACTTTTATCCACAAACATGGACGTGCCAAATGAGAACCAGAGGTAACACCTCAATGTGCAATGTCGGTGGTACTCAACATGCACATCATCGCCTATAACATCCAAGGCCCAATACAAATGATTTTTATAAAGCTTTACCGAAATACTAAACCTAGCATGACACCTCTAGGGTCATATGTCTCATGTGCAGCCTCGACTGGGTCATCACCCAATTGTGTGACCATCAAGTCAGCGCCTTTCTCTCGACCGATTCTCCTATGATCCAGTAATCTCCACCTGATGGGAAGATGTGTAACACCATATTTCTTCATCGGTAATTTAATAAAAGTTAGATTAAATTAATTTTTAAATCAAACACCAAGAATAGGATGCCACATTTTTCAACATATCAAAAACCTGCTCAAGTATAAATAAACAGATATATAACACACTTTCGGATGAACCGACAACATTTTCAACATAGTTCTCAAACTTTAACTTTACTATTGCAGCGGAAAAAGAAATCATATTCATCATTCAACATCTTTAATTAATCATAAACCAACATTGAGTCGAATAAAAAAGAGTTTACAATACTCCAACAAATCATCAAAACAAGACAACAATTAAACAGGACAAGCAAGCGTTCACCCCCCCCCCCCCCCCCCGGTACTACGTATCAGAGCATGACGGCAACTCGAAATAATTGACGAGAACTTTGCCTACTGCGGATCACCTGCACGTTATCCACGTAGAGGCAACATTCAAACAGAAGGGGTGAGATATCACAATAATATAATAAGTCATATAATAATAAGTATATAGAATAATATCATGCATAGTTATTATATCCACATCTCACACATTCACATCATAAGCAACATTTAACAAGCATAAATAACCATATACAACATCTTTATGCTAACAAACAATGCATGCAGTGAGATATAACACTGACTTTATGCATGTGGTACCAATATCGCTTCTGAATCCACACCATCTAGGACCGGAGCCATCAACGTCGTGAACAATTTGGTTCACTTTTCTCCCAATCGACGCCATATAGGAACAGAGCCAACAATAACAACGTGATTATTTATATTCACCTCGCTCCCTATCCACGCCATCTAGGATTAGAGTCAATAACAACAAGAATAAAGTCCTCAACATGAAATGCATGCGACCCGACCATGAAACACAAAGCCACATCAATATCACCATCCATCAATGCAAGCTACCATTTCAGGCCACCTACTTTCCTCTACATGTAACAACACACCACGTCACAAACAACAAATCCGCATAATCGCATTAACACATTTAATGAGAAATTCACACAAAAAGAATAAACTCATCAAATAATTACCCACTATCTTTAAAATTATTTTTATAGTAAAGAAAATGTTTTCAACTTCTCGTAGGTTCAAACAACGCATCAAACGGACACCCGAATAAAAAGTTATTGAATTTTCAAGTTTTTCAAAAATGTTGTCAAACAGTGAGCAATCGATTGCACAGGGACAACAATCGACTGCACCTTGTTCCAGAGGCCAAATTTCATAATTTTCAAGTAGTGCAATTGATTGCACCCTTACAGCAATTGATTGTTTATTGAAACAGAAGCAGATATTCACCAAAATTAAACTTTGCAATCGATTGCACCCTGTAAAAATCAGTTTTACAAATTTTGAAAAGTAGCAGTACGAAAACCCTTTTGTCTCAATTCCAAAACACAAACTTCATGAAATAATTCACAATCAAACCTCAGATTATCATTCCTATCAACATACATCAAGTACCACACATATCAAGCATCAATTTCATCGATTATGAACAATTTCAACGAATTAAATCAAAATAACCCACACCAAAACCTAACATGCATATCACCATATCCCTACCATTATACACTTATTAGAGAGTCAGAACCCCACCCTTACCTGGGTTGAATATTCCTAAACCTCTATCGGGAATTCTTCCCTTTCCGAATGATTGTCTCTTCTTCTCTCTTTCTCGTTCTTCGCTTTTCTTCTCTCGTTCACAGAATGTTACGATCAAAACTTATAATTTCTGTCTTATGACCACTTAAAACCTTAGACCCCTAAATCTATATTCTAACTTTTCCCTTCTTTAATTAATTATTTTATTAAAAACAAAATATAATTGTCATCATAATCGTAATTAATAATAATAATATAATATTCTTAATGCACCCTTGTTACTACGAAATTATCCATACACCTCTAACCTTAACCATTTAATGATTTCTAAGATACCCATCACTCGCTAAGGCACAACAACATATCCTTACCTTCAAAATGATACACCAAAAACACCACATCACATAATTTTTAAATTAAAATAATTTAAATCGAAAACAGGGCGTTACAACTCTCCCCCACTTAGAACATTTTCGTCCTCGAAAATTACCCAATGCGAACAACTACGAATACGGATCTCACATCTTACTCTCCGACTTCCACAACATAAACATCATCTATGTTATTTCATCACATAGCAACATCGCTATAATAACATCGACATTACCATAATACTGACATCTTCGACACAGAGTACTAGTATCACAATGCCACGATTCACCAATAGAACATGTAAAATAATACATATATTGACATGGAAATAAAACGAATAATATATAAACATTTCACCTCCATTATGGAATATCCAATAGTT